GCAATGTATGATACAAAAGCATTTGATGGAAGGTAAAAATATCTCCTTTGAGCAGCTATTTGAGGAAACCACATTTTGCAGCAATCATTGCGTGTTTAATACTGGAAAGATATTTTGAAAAAAGGATGTTGACCCTCTTTCTAGTGACTAAAATTTGAAGTTGTCTGAGCAATGGTAGTATAATAATTTCCTGTTCACATAACATATTTACACAACATAACGTTGCTGATAACGATAAGTAGTCAAGTGTACAACCCAAAGGATGTGCATGTGTCTGGGAATTCCCATGGTCCTTCCTGTCTACCAGTAAAGGGTATTTGTAGGAATAAAACAAAACAAACAGCTATGGGCTAATGATACAAAGTCTTATTCACAGAATTTACTACTCTTCACCTTGCTGACCTGTGAGCTTTACACTTCAAGTTTCCCTATTTAAAGTCAATTATGTAGCTAGTAGTAATCCAGCTTTCTGTCAACACTTGGCTCAGAAAATTCATAACATGCCCTTAAAAAAACCTATTTAGAAATTGATTTGTTTGTGTATGTAACTGTTCTAGGACAGCTAGAGGCAAAAGGTGATTATGCTCTGTTTCTGACTTCTCTTTGAACCCTTAGAAACCCGTGGTAGTGGTCTGGCTGCTATGGCTGAAAATGAAGTATTTGGAAACACAACAGGGTTTACCAGTAACTTACATTCACAGTGTGCCCCCATATATTACTCATTTTTTTGCTCATTCTTGTGGGAAAAATTGCATAAGATTTGGCTTACATGTAGGGGTATATCCTTCTGTGCCTCACTTTCTGCTGTCAAGCACGTATCTTCAACCCTCCATCCTTTAGTCCTGCCTCTTGCTTGCTAAACTGGAAGCAGCTGTGTTCATCTACTCTCCTAAAGCCCTCTCTCTTCTATGTATAAAAAGCATGCTATCTTTGCCACAATTGGCTTTGTTTATTGCATTAATCTGATTATAGTCTGCTATGCACCATACTCAGTGTAAGGAGAAAAAATGTAAACTGCATATGTGTTATAACTTTGATAGTACTCATGTAACAAGACTGTTGAAATTTTAAAACTATGGCCATTGTATGTCAGTTTGCCCTATTTCCAGCTAGTTTATTTAAAAAAAATCCAAACATTCAATTTTGTACTAGGATAATAGTCACTAAACCCAAAATATTTTAATTTAGATAATATAATCTGAATAAAAGCACTGAACTGTGATATGTTTCCCCCAGGAACCAGCTATTTGCAAAGAACTTTCAACATCCACATCACCAGGAGTCACAGCTGGAGCCAGATTTCCTTGAATTATTTTGAAAATCATTAACAAACCCAGTAGTTTTGTATCTCTTCGCAGAACAATGCGATTTCCATTCTCACTAAGACGCAGTTCCAGAGAAGTATATATTCAGTGTGTATCTGATACTTTAAAAAGAGCAGTAGGTACAACCCACGGAATTTGAACACGTGTGGTCTGCAGTACTTATCACTCTTATCACACAGTTATGAAACAAACACTGGGGGCCAAAGTAAATAGTGTTTCAGCCATCGTTTAACAACACGTGTCGTGGATGTAGCCCGTTATATGGCATCTGATCAGTTCTGTGGGAAGTGTCTGCCAGTTTTCTTATCCATATTAATAAGCTGAACTCTGTGTTTCAGTTGCTGTGGAATGTCCTACAGCCTCTGTTTAAAACTAAAAGTGTAGAGATACTTAATTTCCAAACATGGTATGCTGCCAGTGTGGACAAGGCATTGTGGGTTTTTATACCTTATTTCAAAAACTCCTCTGTTTATATGTTTGTAAATCAAGCCACTAGTCTTTCATGCTGCAGCTTGCTTTTCAGGCTTTTCCATGAGAACTCAATGCTGGTACTTTAGTATTCTACAACACTTCAGATTTCCGGAAGTATCTGTAATTTTGGTAACTGCAAGGAACTTCCTTGTTGCTCAAACTCATGTTTGATGGAATTTTTTATAATTTAGAAATCCTCATGTGCAAATCTCACTTCCTTCCCTCTAGAGGTCTGTGAAGTAGGTTTTTAACAGTGGCTGAAGAGTTTTATTTTTCAGGTAGTTGTCCATTCTTCTTTAGATGCAATCCATATATATTATGAGGAAATTAGTGCTAGGTATAATACAGAAAATTTGGTGAGACAGAGAACACAAAAACACTGATGTCTCAAAAGTTCAAAGGTCACAAGCAAAAGCTTCTGCAACAGAAAAACTAAGGAGAAAGAGAGAGGGGACAGATATGCCTCAGGATAGTGATATTAAGTGATTGGGTCATCAGGGAGAAAACAGACATTAGGAGTGTGGACAGCAAAGTTTCTCAGACAATTTCTTGGGTTTTTTTCTTTGTTCTTACTTATAAGTAAGAATGAATATTATGGACAATGAATTCAGAAATCTCATGAGTCTTACTCCCAGTCATTATTTCAATGGCAAAATATAGAAATGGATTAAATCCTGTCTGTCTCTTAAGAAAGGAAGAAATTGTCTATTAAGAAATTATAAAATATTAAACAATAGAACAGTAAGTTTTGGGGACAAAACTGAAAGCAGGTATTCAATGTAATTCTCATCTGTCATTGCTCATTGTGGTAAGGGGAAGGAAACGTGGGGAAGAGCACACACTGGTTGCTAATATTTGCTGTCATTCCCAATGGCTCAGCAAATTAATTCTCTAGCTGTCACACCTCATGCCTGAACCTCTCCAGGCATGGAAACACCTTTGTCAGACTGCCCCCGTTTTCTACGGTTTGTGCATATTAACTGAGGGACTTTGAGTTGGCCATACTGTTCATTACCAGTGCCATCCAACCTTTGATGTTCTCAGGGTACAGACCACATAATAACAGCTGCTGAGATACCCTGTCTTACAGTAGTTACTGTGTATACATTTTCCTCCTAAAACAAAACTGATTGAGTAATGATTTTTGTGACTGATTCAGCCTTGTATTCTGTTCATGAAATGATAGTGACTGATTTTTTTTAATGTACTATTTTTCAACCAGTACATATTTTTTAAACTTTTTTTTTCCTCTTTGTTGATGGCCAGGTCTAAAGCCAACTTGTCTGTTCAGCTGTGGCTGTTATTTACTGATGATAAGAGTCTGAAAACTTTTATGAAACAAATACTAGATGGACAGTTTCATAATAGACGTTCCATACTGGTAAACTGAAATGCTCAAGTGTTCTTGCATGCAAAATGGATGCAAAAAAGTGATTAATTTATAATCTCAGCTTGCTGAAAATAAAAAAGCATATGCATTACTTGTCCTGTGCTTTTTAAAATCTAACTGGTATATTGGTAGCAGCACAAATTAGCATGTAATTGTCAATATACTGCATAGAGTTAGTAACACTGAGGATATAATTGCCTGAGTTGTCCGTGTTTAAACAGCGATGACAAAATTATATCAGAGCCTGTTAAATACAACTATATTAATAGTTTAAAATTATAGTTGAATAACTGACATTAAAACTATATTAAACCTAACCATTGATGCCTGATCTATTTGGACTCAGGCCTACCAACCTGCCAGCATCTTTTCCAGGGATATATAGGCTGTTTACCAGTGTGCTAGGACCACACATTTAACCTGAAAGTAATAGTACTGTGAGGATACAGGTGACGAGATATTTTTAGTTTCAAGGCATTCCTGAAAGCAAACATAATGAACCAGCTGGTAATCAGTTGGCTACATGGCCACGTTCACCACGTATAATTCTCTAAACTGACAAGGAAATTGTGAACCTTCAGTATGAATGTGAACAGCCCCAAGGGCAGTAAGGAGGGGTGGATTTATGAGCAGACAATGGACAGATGAGCAGACAATGCAAAACTATCTGTCTATGCTTTGATTCATAGAAATGAGTGCGCCAGGCACAATGAGAGATGGGCAGAGTCATTACTTCATTTCATTCTTCTGAAAGGATGCAATATAATGAGGACAGAAAATAGAATATGCAACGCATTCTTTTTTTGTCTCTAATGGACTCCTGTGGTTTACTTCATGTTTTTTTTTAGCCTGTTACACCAAAGTAGGAAACGAGAAAACAAAGGAAAAGCAGATAAAGGAGTAATGAATGATAGAAACTGCCTTACTCGGATTCACAGCCCCATCAAAGGGGGCTTGCACAGTTCAGGTGGTCTAAATTGGGGTAGCTCTGTAATTACAGCCTATTGGACAGGCAGAAAATGTCTCTGGAACTGCCAGACTGGATTTTTTACAAGAATTAAAATTGTTGTTGTAATAAGAGATGAAGTGGACAAATATACTCAGTAAAGTCTATTAAAAATAAACCTTGTCTGTGTATGCCTATACTTCCAGTTGAACTCTAGGCTGGCAGGAATCAGCCTGTTACTGAGAGGCACCACTGCAGGACAGCAGGACATCAGAAGGCAATAAGCAAAATGACTACATAAAAAACTATTCCTCTATCCACTGCACATATGCACAGCAGTGCATGCAGTTAGCAGAGTTGTCAGTGCTTCCTGGCAAACACAGACTGCGTACAGGCTCCTACAGGCTCAAAGTCATATTATATCTATATCCTATATAATGTACTTTCCATTAGTATGTGTAGAACAGCTAAGCTGTAGTGCTGTAAAGTAGTAACACTATGCTTACCCAAACAATTAAAACTTACTTATCTTCCCTTGAAATACCAAATAGTGGTGGTTTACGTAATGGCTTTTCCTCAATGCGGTCAAGCAGCCACCTTACCAGAAAAGGCAGCAAGCACCAATTTAGACTAAATAGTATGTTCATCCATGCAGTGATGGGGCACAGCATTAAGACAAATGTTTTCCCTGCTGCAAAGGTCCTTATGAGGCAGAGAAGGGGCCCCAGAATATATTCCAGGACCTGACTTTGCCTCTCTGGAACAGAACAGAAAGATTCCTCATGCTCCAGCTCCTCCAAGCCATAGTGCTTTGAAAATATAGCATCTGGTCCAAAATCTAGTGAACTTGGATATTCTAACTGAACATACATTTCATAAACTATAAAATGAATCTGCTGTGCTAATTGTTCTGCTCTAAGGCTTTAAGGGAATGCCAAACATGAACAGTTGAGTCTGGACCAATTTTGACTGAGGTGTTCTGATCAAGGTTTTGGCACTTTTGCAGGATATGTGTTTAATAGTCAAAATGTTGATCTGTCATTATCCTGTGGATTATTCATTGCCTGTAGAATTAGCCTAGTAATCTTTTTCTTTCCCATTCTACTATTTACTGTTACAGTGCTATTCCATTTCCAGAATTGCCAGTTAACATCTTAATCCGTCTGTCAATTAGTTGCTGACTGATTTAGGAAACAGTGTAAAAATGCCTGAAGTGAATGGGGTTGAAAATCTGCAAATAATGTAGGAAGGAGCTATGCAGTATCTTCACATTACAAAATATTTACTTAACAACCATCTTGAAAGTGTATTCTTTAGGAAACAGCTACTCCAAACAGCCTTCCCTGGTCATGGCTTAAAATTAAAACAAAACAAAGTAAAACCATAAAAGTGGAAACAAGCCATGCCATTAACTCTCCTTCATTTATACTATACAGGGTCCAGCCTTGTTCAATGTAATGCAAGTGTTTATTCCTCTGGAAAGATGGACTGCCAAGAATAACAACTTGATGAATGATGATTAGCAGTAAATACAAAATGTTTATCTCATGTTATGTATGGAGCCCTGAAGAAGTCATGACAATACTGAGTTGTTGACTTGACTAGCTTAAACAGACATAAATGTCTCAGATGGAGGAGGTGGTGCTGTGGAGAAGATGAAATAACGAATTTAAGATGCAGCCTCTTTTCAGACATACACTAAGGGTGATCATAACCATGATCTGCTTTTCCATTTGCAGGACATTGCTATCTGAACACACTGTGGGAAGCGAGGCTTGAGGAACCATATGTAAGTAATGCTACCTTCTGAGAAATTGTATTTATCCTGTAAAGACAAAAATGTCTTTCCAAAGTAACAAGACGTGTATAAGTCAGTCCTGCTGGCACTCAGTTCACTGTAGATGCTGTGGAATATGCAATGCCAGATTGAGCTCTGGCACCTGAGCCACTGCTGTTTTCTGCAGGATGCAACTGGTGAAACTTGTCAATGATGAGCTCCTTTGACATTCTTGTGTGATACATTTTAATAACTTTTTTATTAGAAATGTTTTACTAGACTGTGCAAAGAACAGGGACGTGAAATTCCTCAAACTCCATCTCCCTGAAGACACTTAAGGGAATACTGTTTCGAACCAATTTGAAATGTAAGCAAATGGATATTAAATGTTTTAGAATCATTAATATTTCAATGTGAGGGTTTTTTTTCTGATGATGATGAAGTGCAGCGTTTTGGCATTCTGGTTCTTATTTTTTTTCAGAACCCTATGAAGATGTCAGTATTTCACTTGTGATAAAAATATGCGTTTTAATGATGGTGTCCTCCATTCTGATTTTTTTCATTACTAGGTGAGTTGACATGGATCTACATTGTTTTAATAAGTCTGTGGTCAAAGTATTTTAGGAGTTAAACATTCATTAAATGCTTCTGTTAATACAAAAATAATCAAACAGAAAAAAAAAGGAAAGAAAATCATGTATAAATATGTAAAATTTACTTAATGCCATAATGACAAGAAGAAATTCAGAGAGAGGCATTTCTTTGTAGTTTAGGAATAATGATAACCACAGTACTCAGTGGACTCAGTTTAAGGCTAAGAAGATCAGGCCATAAAATTATAATATAGAAAGCACTGAATCATATCAAGTCAGCTAGAGAAGGTAGAGAGTGAGGACAACAGGTCAGTGCAGAGACCTGTCATCCCAGCAACCATCTGATACCTGAAGTCTTGTACTATATTTCATTTCATACCTACAAGGCAGAACAAATAGATTACTACACCTAGTAAAGCAGAAACCCAGTGTTCATCCAAAGAGCATAAACCACAAATTAGTGAGGTTTGGGCAGTGTCTGTGTTCAATTTTATATGTGCCACCAAGCAGTCATGACACAGGACAGTGGGACTGAGTTCAAAGTGGAAAGGGAGACAGGAGGCACAGAATCTGGAGTACTGGGAGGAGGTGTGGTGCCAGGGGGACAGCACAGAGCTTCAGGGACCTGGGCTGAGAGGTGGTAGGACAGGCAGGGCAGCACTGAGGAGCTGTGCCCTCCTGCTGTTTTGGAAGCAGAGTAAACATTGTGGAGTAAAGCTTAGAGGCTGGAAGGATGGTTGGAACCAGGTGTGGTGAGAAGACAACTGGCAAGGCAGGTACGAAGGAGTGAGACCTGGGGCAAGGGAGGAACATGAGAATGAACCTTCAGCATAATGAGGAGGTGCAGCTCATGGCACCACTTCAGATGTAGGGCAGGCACAGAGGTGTGAGGCTTAGGGCTGAAGAGGGCCACCAATGTACCAGGTTAAGGATGGGCCAGAAATACAGTGAGTCCCTGGCATGGCTACAGAGAAGACAGTCTCCAGCAGAGCTTCTGTAGCATGGGTGCCTGCTGAGCCCCTGGGTCCCAGGGGATGGCTGCCAGGCCCCGCAGATGCTGCCAACCTGGGACAGGGCAGGCACAGGTGTGGTGACCAGGGTGCTGTGAGAACAGGGAACAGCACAGGAGCCTATGGAGTGTTGAAATGCCCAGCCCTTGGTTCTGTGCCCAGACAACCATAATGAGGAAGGAGAAAGAAAGAAATCACATAGAGCAAGTGGCAACATGTTCTGTCCCATGATCCGCCCTGGAAACACTTGGCAAAAAATGGGTTGCTGTCTAGAGTGATTTGTGTCAAGTGGCAGCAACATGCCTGAGAGGCCAAAAACTCTCTTCAGAGCACCACCGTGCAAGGCAGGAGACTGCAGCCTGATGATATATTTTTCTTTGTGGCAAAGGTGATTGAACAGTTTGTCATCCTTTTCTTCCCCTCCTCCCTCCATTTACTTAGCTGAAGAGTTACGTTTAGTATCTTCTCTGACATGGGACGAATCACATTTCTAAATTATTTTAAACTTCAGAAGTTAAATAGTTCATGGCATTGTCATTGTTGTTATTTTTTTATGCTTTTCTTTCTCCTAAATGTGTCCTTTTCCCAATTTAAAAAATGAATGATATATTCCCTGTGGCCAGCTAAAATTGGACATCTGAAAACCCCAAAGAAATGAAGCAAATTGACTCTTACATGTAAAACTTGCTGAGTAATGCTACTCCTTAAAAAAAATTCTACTCTAACTCTTGCAAACTATTTGCTATTCTTTCAAACCACATCCTTTAGAAACAGAACTTACTACTCCATGTTGCATAATGTCTGTGGCAGTCATGCTCTTTATCAGCTTTATTAGCACTTAATAACTATACAAATATTTTCCAGTTCTTTTGCTTGTTATGTCTCTGTATGGTTACACTAAATGCTGTGTCAGAAATTGCTATGAATAGGACTGTTACATTCCTTAGCAATGAGCAGTAAGCTGCCTTTAGAAAGAAGAGGTATAATTTGAAAATGAGCTTTTTTCCCCCTGTGTGGTGCATATATATTTACGCATATGTGTATGTATGTGACAAGCATGCGTATACATATACATACTGCTAATACATATACATACTGTGAGACAAAATACAGCAGTTCTGAATGTTACAGCTCACAAGTCCTACAATATAAATAGAATATATTATGTATAAAAATGATACAACCGAGCTGCATTAAAGAAACATTTTAGAGTTTAATGCCTACTGGTAACAAGATAGAAATAAATACCAAAATAGTTAATTTTGTGTCATAGAAAACTTAATAGGGAAAAAAACAATTAAATCAAAAGGGAGGAGCTGCTCTCTATCTACTTCACTAAAAACTTACCATATCTTAATTCTGCATTCATTGTGAACCCTAAATTCCTATAAAAGTTGATAAAGAAAAATAAAGTGAAAGTTGATGGTTTTAAAAATCTATTCACACAGGTTTGTGAACGAACATTGACACAAGTACAGCAGTTATTTTAGGACATTAGAATGGAGAAATGAAAGTTTGTTTACCTCAGAAACAGATCTTAGTGTAACAATAAGAATTTGTACAATCAGGTGATCCCCCATGTCTTGTTTCTTTTGCTGGTTAAACAGATCCATGACTAAAGGTATCCAGAAACACACTGAGATGTGGAAACTGTCTAGTATATAACGTCTAAATACATTGGAGGTGGGTTTATAAAAATATGAACTTAATTTTCTATCATTTATCAGAAAATGCAGTGAAATATACAGTATTAAAATATAAAACAGCAACTAAAGCTGTGACAATAAGAGAACACACTTTTCTATTTTAATAAAGTACCTTTTGAAGTCATATAACCTTTAGGCCTTGTCTCTTACATGAGAGAAACTTTGTCTAATCTCTACATCAACATATATTTGTTGATTTCAATCCCTTTGCCAAAGGCCTTTCTCCACTGACCCAGGAGTTTTGCTTATTATGCACATTACTTTGCGCCACTTGCTTTGATGTGTCACTACAGTCAATTAAATATTATTATCACTTCATGGAACGTTTGTTTTACAAAACTTTCAGAAAAAATCATGGTTCTCACAACTACATTTGAGCAGAGCTAACATTGAAAAGATATGCCCTATCCTTACAGCAAATATAAATATATGTGTGTTTATAAATATAAATAGATGCACCATAGCTCAGTTCAGCAGAACTGACAGATAAAGTTTACAGGTGGCTTTGACCAAGGTACTTAATTCCCCATGGCCCAGTTCCCTTTTCTGAGAATGAAAGACAGTACCACCTAGACCTCTACTTTCCCTTTGTGGTGTTTTTCAGATGAAAAAAAGATATTGTTGTTAGTATCAGTACTTTGGTTTGCTTTCTCCAACATACCTTGAAATATAAGAACAAATATAAACACATTCTCCTTTATAGTGGTTTAGTAGTAGGGAAAGAATACTAAATACCCTTACATCTCATTGTTTCCTATTATATGTTACCACAGCAAAGAAACACTTTATGGAATATGATCAGTAACCACTACAGTGCTGAGCTACTTGAAAGTAATTAGTTTGGGTTCAGAGGCAGAGACAGCTAAAAAGTTAAAACTTGGGGTTGGTTTTAAATGAAGAGTATGTATTTAACTGTGTCTTTAAACTCTGTGAACCTTCCAAGATTTCAAAATCATGATGGTTACTTTGTGAAAAGTGATTATACTCCCCAAAGCGTTTCTGACTATTTGCTTCTACTTTTGATAGAAATAACATAAGCACAGTATTTCTCAAGGAATTTCAATGCCTTTGGTTTTGATGCTGGACAGAAGTCTTAAGTCTCTGGATTAGGAGGCTGTTTGATCCTTTTTGTAGCGTATGTATATATGGTATGAGATAGTACAACTTCAATAATATTGTGATCAAGATTTTCAGCTTTGGGAACTTGATTAAAATCTGGCTTGGATTGCATACACAAGCAGTTTTAAATTTAACACAGGAAGAATATTTGTGTTTAGCAAATAATGTTGTGCCCAGAACATGCAAGCAACAAGATAGAGAATACTAAATGCAACTACCATGCACTCAGTTTGGTCAACAACACTACAAATATGGACACATATTTTGCACAGTCATGGTCTCTTATAATTAAGATTGTAATTTTTCATGGACTCTTTTTCTAAGCTATGTGGTTTAGTAATGATAGTGTAAGATGTGTGCCTGTTTGCCTGGTGATGCAAACCATAAGGAATGCATGGGGTTCATTCTCTTTGTTAATTTTTGAGCATTCTTTCAGGTGGTGTTTCAGGCTATCTACGTGCTAGACATTTTGGAGCCTGACTGCTTACACGATGTCTGTCTTTCTGCAGTATTGTGACATTCAGAATCATCCAGCACATTTTTGCCAATGAAGATGTCATAGATTTAGAGAACTCTCAGCTCAGAGATTTGCTCTGAGAAAACTTAGTCTTGTTGACTTTGAAGTCATGAATCTGTTTTCATGGGCTTTTTGCATAGTGTTTGTTGGTGGGAATTACGTTGACTTCTCCTGAAGTGGCGTCTGTTAAGTATAAACATTTATCCACATGTTCAGACTACACTTTGACAGCTCTACTTATATTGTGGTTTAAATGTGTGTCTTTATAATTAAACTGTGTATCCAGACTCTCTGAACACGAATCTGTGCTCACACATGGGCTCGAAGTGAGCATGCTAGCACTGGAAAGGGACTACTTGTGTGCCTTCTACCCTGTCATGCAGGACTATTGCTAGTGTGGGTAAGAGACACAGACATAGCTGTGCCTGCTCAGCCCAGGTCTGCCACTGCACAGCCCGTCACACTTTGCAGCAATATCAGATGCCAGCCAGGTTGCTATTCTGTTCCATGACTTAATGGTTTGATAGAAGTGCCTTACCAGAAATGGATGTTACCAATCCTATCTGGAGCACATCTAGAGCAGGTATCTAGAGCACATCAGGCTCACAGCTCACGTGGCCTTGGGACTCGTATTTCCGTTGGCAGAATAAAGGTAGGCTGCATAAGAAGAGAGAGTTAGAGGTTGTTTCATACCTGTTTGCAAATAAATAAGGAAGAGATCTTTCTGTATAAATTGTAATATTTCCAATAGATTTTGTTTTGAAATTTGTTGTTTCCAAACACTCTGGAAGAACCAGAAATTCAGTATTTAATGTCTTCCTGTAGGGTCTTGGAACAGATTGCTGGAGTGGGAGGCCTCTGGCAGAGTTCTGGGTACACAGGAATCACACATTGAGAGCAAAGTTCCTTCGAGTTTGGAAAGATTTCATCTGTATCTTTGACTTTAAAAAACATCTGTCTTCATCCATTTCCAGCATATTTATTTAATTTGAGACAGATGACTCTCATTAGCCTGTTGGTGGGGCTTGGTCCCCTGAGGCAGTGTTGTGCTCTCCACTGCTGGCTGTTGCTTTTTCAGTTTCTGAATGAAGAGCTTTATGACTTCCTCATTAGAATAGGCACAAGCATAATAGGTCAGAAGCCAGACCATTTTTTTTTAGCAGTAGAGTTTATCAGTTCACCTACATATTTCCAAGTCTGTATTCAGATGGCATATTTTAAGAAATTGAAAAAAAAAATCACTGGATGCCAAACCCCTCATTTTTCAAAATAGTTTCTACTAGTGCACTGTCTCCTCATTACTTATCTGCTTTCTGTGTGAAAAAAAGCTGCAATAAATCAGCACATTCCTGGTATTGACTGGGTCTACTCACAATTATGGTCAGACCAACAGTAGTTAGGAAAACTCAGTGAAGCTGGGTTTCTAAGAAACTAACAGGCTGAAGTGCTGGCCCTATAGCTGGCAAAAGAAGGGATCAAATTGCTTTGTTCAGCTTTCTTTTAACCAGACACTTACTGCACATACTAGGGGAAACACATTCTGCCATAGTAATTTGTTCGTAATTAAGATTTTCCTTTCACCAGTGTGGGAAAAGAAACATATTCAGGTGGCCTCACTGGTGTCCAAGTCTGACTATTCATGAGTCTGACTATTTAATACAAGGAAGTAATTAGATTTACTTTTTCTTTTTTTAGCTGGAATTCTGTGTGCTAGGGAATAGAAAAAATTATTAAATGTCTCATCTGTGGCTTAAAATCTATGCCAAGAAGATGACTGGGAAGTTCTTAAATTAAAATTCATATTCTACAGAAAGAAAATCCCTTTGTATCAAAAAATATCTGGTGTTTGGTTTTTGGTAGTTATACATTTTCAGTTCACAGACCAACCAGTTTGTTTGCAGAGATTAAAAGACTATTATTTTTCAAATTTAGAATCTTTCATCACATTACTCGATTCTCAAATGCTTTACATTTCTCTGCTCCATGAATCTGGAAAAGATTGATACAAAAGTGGGAGGCTATGGAAAAGGAAGAACATCTGACTCACACAATTAGAAACCATGGCCAAACCACTCTGCAAGGAGGAGGTATAATGTCCTGGGAAAAATGAAAACTAGCTGTTGGAAACAAGAAACTCCAACTGCGTTCAATAGGTCTGTGTGAATCTGTGTATTTGGTGTACTGCTCTAAACATGTACTTACCTACACTCATTTAAAATTAACGTGAGAGACACTGACACAAGTAATGACTGAATTAATGAAACCAATTAAACCAAATGCAAACTTACTAGGGCCTCTCTGTGTTTGAAAGAATAGTTTGGATATTTATATATTAAATTGTGTGTATATGTGTAAATATTAATAAGATTGATAATTACATAAGTAAAACAAGTTTTGTTCTGACTGAAAATCCATTTTTATGCTCAAAAGTGATACAATAAGTTGTTTAATTAAAAGTCTGTGCTCAAAGACAACTCTGTTTTAGAAAAGAAGAAACTCCTTTTTGATTTTTTGATCTGTTATAGTAGACTAAAGTTATCCATGTGACTTAAGCAAGCTATCGTCTTTTTTTTATTACTAGATACCTTTTATTGCTTATTTACCTCTATTGTATACATGGGAGGTCTGTTTTTAACGAGCAGAAGTTTATACAGTGATGTTCTCTATTAAATGGATCAACAGCTGAGATTTCAAAATATTTCCTTTGCACATGAAAAGTTAAGTAACCAGGGTGTCGTTACTGTGAGAATCCAGCAGGGCATAGGGGATGTCTCCAAATGCAATAAAGTGGAGAGGCCTGATGGAGACAGGAGCAGCACAGACACTGACAAGTGCTGGCTAAGGTCCCAGACCTCGGGGACAGTCACCGTCACCTGTAGCAGGAGCAGTGCAAGGGATGGTGGATACAGGGACAGACACTGAGGCTTGTTCCCTCCATATTAGACCCCAGATTGGCTAGAGGGCATAGGTGCTTAAGATTATTCCTTTTTTCATGCAGTGGACTAAAACACTTCATTCTTTCTGATTTGATTAGTAATAGGGGCAGAAAAGTTTTCTGTTGGAGCTGTGACAAACATTGCTTGGGCTGGGTTACCTGTATGTAATGGAAAACATGAACAACACAGACAACTGTGGGAAAACATGGATCCAGAAGATGCGGTAAAAGGGGAAGGAGCAGCAAAACCAACTCTATAGCATATTCTGCTGAAGCAACAACTGCAACAATTAATAATAAATCCTATGAATAATTATTAAACTCCATTAATAACTAGCAGCAAATCCAACAGAAAATACACGAAAAGCAACGCTTCTAGCAATTATAGCAATGCCTTGCCTAACAC